CGCGTAATCAGCCGGCAGAGCGACAGAACGTCGTTTTCATGACTCGGAGATGGAATGGCGAGCTACTTTCCTCTCGAAAAATATGTATGTGTGCGCGTTAGATATATTATTAATTAAATGTGAAATTTTGAAATGTCGGTTAGCCTCGTCCCTTTTGCTCGAACATCAAACACCATTCAACTTGTCAAACAATGTACTTGAATTAAGGTTGGAGATATTGTCCTAATTACGAACTCTTCATTGCAAAGAAGAAAAACACAGTCCACGCATTATACACGTATCAACAAAAATCCCTATTTTTGTCCCGTTAGGAACCAGATTAGCTTTCTCGATATTTCGCTCAAACGTCGCGAAATTTTATTAGGCGTAATTGGGTCTCCTAAAAGTTCCCTAAACCTGTAATCGCTCTTTCGTCCTCCACCTTGTTTGCGAGTCAGTTACAAGAGCTGAAGAATGTCGCTTAAGTAGAAGATTAATACGGCCTCGGGGACGCATTAGACTGTCGTTTCATTGTCGCGGAACCTCGTCTCGTCGGGCCGAGCGAAACTTGAATTTAAATTCGACCAATGATCGCCATAAGTCGACCTCCGGCTGCGCTTTGTGGTGCCGTCGATGTGGTAGTAATGGCAATTCTATGCAATGCATGCAGAAAGAGGAGGAGAACAATAATAACGAATCTGACGTTTCTTCGCTTTTTTATCTACCCTCGAATATTTTTTTATTCGGAATAACGATTAGATGTTTGTTATGTCCGTGGAAATAACTGGAATCGCTCTTGCAAGCCAAGCTGCGATATTTGCTCCCACTGTAGAAACGTTTTTTTTCACATGTACAGAATCTCTCACGTTTTCTATGTTTGTCTATAATCGGGAATGAACCTGTTTAATGCTTTTAAATGTTAAGTCGCTGATTTATCAGGATTTATTCCAGGATCTTTAAATTCCCGCTTGGACCTCATTTGTCGATCCCTGAGATACTCAGAACCCCATTTTCGCGCATCGTTTCCCCGCTTTCGATCTACGTCGACCATCGTAGGTCCTCGTAGGTTCCCAGGGATCTACGCGCAGTTACCGAGGATAAGTTTCGCATCCTCGAGTCTGTTCACGCTCGAGCTTGAATTTGTAAAAAAAAAGACCTATCGATATTCCGGAACTATCGCACTACCTATTCCATTCACGCTTTCCCGATCGATCCTAGACTCCCGAGACTTCTAGGAATCTCTCTCTATCCGGTCTCGGCGCGGCGCGGCGCGCCAGACTCATCGGCTGGCGATGCGTCGTCTCTAGCGGTGCTTTCCTGCGCTATACAACGCTCGTGGTATAGGTCAGTGAAGTAGGAGCAGTTCCCCCACCGCGGCAGCTCCTAGACAACGGGTCTACGATTGACTCATCTAGCCAGTCATACCGCGCGTAAACACGATCCGCTCCAGCTGTTTCTCGCGCGCGCTCTCGGGGGCCTCTCTCGCCACTACCGGCCTTCCTCTCACTTTCTCCGTCTCTCTCTCCCTCCTCGTTGGCTCTCGCCCGAGCGCTCGCCCTCGGCCGCGTTTCCTCGTGCGCTCCCGCCGCGCCGTGCGTTCTAGCCCGCGCGCACTTCCCGAGAACAACGGTGCGTTCTCCGTATTTTTAGAGCCACCTCGAAAATCTTTCGCTCTCCTGCCGTTCCCTGTTTTTCGTCTCCCCCCTTTTCCCTCTCTTATGTCTCTCTTTTCTCTTCATCCACGAATCTCGCTTCATTTCTCTCGCGCTATTTATACCGCGGCCCTTACAGTTATTGAAACCTTGTCGCGTTACGTTACATCGGCATATCACGAGACAGCAGTGCTTCGGTGGATCTAACGCGATGTATCGCGTGTATCGAGAAGTCGAACGGATTTCTTCTCCACCTTCGCCTATCCTTTATTGTGTACCGTTGCGCATTGGGTACTTTCGCTTAATATTCTTCCTCGCTTCGTTTGATCCGCGACTGTTTTCCACGCGATTCAATCTCGTTACTCTCTCAGTGGGTTTTCGCCCGTGGCGTTTAATGAAGCGCCTATTTCTGCTTGTTTACCGAGACGCGCGAGATTTCGCGTAATTTTTAAATACCTTCGCGCTAAATTGTTTTGACATATCAATAAAACGTGACGTGTCGTATATGAACGCCGTTATTTCGAACTACCGCTTATTAACTTCGCCACGCCATCACGCCGAGGGGGGGGGGGGGGGATATAATACCGCTTCGGTACAGCCGAATAAATATTCTCCCGTTCTCCCTTTCCCACCCGCTCGCTCCGTCCTCCTCCCGTCTCGTCGGTCCACAAACCAGAAAACCTCGAATAGTGCCCGAGGAATCGTTCAACCGCGCGGGACTCCACGGAACTGCAGCGCGCGCGACGCGAGAGGATGCAGGCGAGAGAGGGAGAACGGGGGAGGGGGAGGGGTGAGGACGGGATAGAGCGAGAGGGTTGACGCGACGAGGAAGAACAGGCGCGGGGGGTGAGGGGCGGAGAAGGGGAGGCGAGGCGGGAGGGAGCGCGAGGGGCCGGAGAACGAGTTCCGATTTTAGCGCAGTCGCGGCGGCCTCAGAACGAGCGGCGCTATTATGCACTAGTAGCTTGATGGCGTCACCCGTGCAACCTTGGCTCGGGTCAGTCCTCTATCATACTGCAGGCAGAGTTCCCCGATTCCCTCCCGCTCACCCCCTTCGTCTCGCAACGCTCTCGCTCGCTCGTTCTCCCGCGCGCGCGCGCTCCGCTCGCCGCGCCTCTCCGCTTTAACCCTATCTCTCTCTCTCTCTCTTCTCTTCTCGTCTCTTTATCTCGGTCCGTCTCCTCTTCCTCTCGACCCAGTGGCGTAAGGGGAAGAGAGCTTCTCACCGCCTCGTAGCAGCGCTTTGAAACTTTTGCTTTCTCTCGGCGTAACGTCGCTCCATCGTCGCGTGCACGTAGATGCGAAATGCTGAGAATTTTTTTCTTCTTCCCTCCTGTGGGAGCCGCGCGGCGACACTGGTTACTCAGCTCCGGCAGAAGGAACACGAGATTCATCTCGTGGCCGCCTCGAAACTTTCGCTTTCTTTCGTCATAACGCCGCGCGCTATTTGCGCGTAAGTCGCGCGGCTGGGAATTTTTTCTTTTTCCTCCTCGTACCGAGCGCCGCACTTACTCGCTGACGCGAAAGAGGTTTATCGCTCTCGAGAAATCCCTGCTTTTAATTCGGCATTCTCTCAGAAGTGTATATTCAAATTTATTTGTTTCCTCTCAGTCCGATTCTCCCAGAAATATCCGCGCCACGACAATGTTTGTCAAATTCCGAAACTTCAGCTTCCTCCAGTATCTCTTCACGATAGTCCCCCGAAATAATAAACTTTGTCTCTTTCAAAACCGATACGAATCCGAGCAACAAACTTCACCGGGACCGACCGACACGCGAGTGGGTTTACGTGATAAAACTTTCTGGGCCGAGCTCGATTTTTAAAACGGCGGCTTCTCGCTGAATTCCCGCAAGAGCGCTTGGAACTCGACGATTCCTCGGGAGACCGCAGTTGCGCTTCGACGCGAGATTCGCGAGGAAGAAACCCGCGCACTTTGGGAAGAGGGAACCCGCGGCGGATTCCCGCGCACGTCCAGCACGTTTTCCTACGCCCATGGACCACGAGAGCACACGAGAGCTCTATATGCTCGCAGCACAAACTCAGATCGTGTGCACTCGCGTCCATGCGATCGTATCGACGCGATCGATATTGCGCGACGTCCACTCCCGGCTGAACCATATGACGCGTAGACAATTCCCGCGAATCTCGCGAACTCGATAATTACTTAGGACTTGAGCAGAACGATTGTCGTAGCCGCGTTTGCGATTCTGTCGTAAGATTTGAGTCGGTGTCGAAAGTCAACGCACAAAGAATTGTCGCGGACGTATGTCGCCTTGCGATTAAGGGTCAGGACACAAAGCAACGTAATAGCTTACGACAAAGACGTGAGCGTAAACGTAGATTAGCGCACAAGCTTTGGCGCAAATGTTAATGTCATATGTAATTGGAGGTAAGTACGACATACGCCGAAGCTTGTCATAAGCTGTAACGTTGCTTTGTGCTCCGACCCGTATGCGACGTACGTATACGACACGTCTTTGTGCGTTGACTTCCGACTTCCAAGTCTTACTATGGAATCGTAAACACTTTTACGACAATCTTTCTGCTCAGGCCCTTACTCGGTCCTTCCGTTTTCCCGAGCGAGATCGGAGAAAAAAAATCTAACGCCATAAACGATAGCGACTGATCTCTTTCGCAAGGTCGTATCTCGATTTTACGCGATTTCTGGTTTTTGTGCTTAAACGCACATTCTGGTCCAGAATTGAAGCAGAGAAAATTGCGTAAAACCGTAAAATCGAGACACGACCTTGCGAAAAAGATCGATCGATAGGCGACGGGGGTGAGACGCGCGGAAACAGGTGGCGGTCCCTCGAAATCTATCTCGCGCCGATCAATCGGACGATATAGACGACGACGACGCGCGACAATGGCGATAACGACGTTTTCCCTCGTTGCCGCTTCGCGAACGATGGGCTATTAATACTTGATTGCACGTTCAATTGCGACGTGTAATCCCTTAAGCTGCGCGGTGCGAAAACTAACGCGATAAACGCCGACACCGACCCTTCGCCGCTCGCCGAGATAATAACGCCACTTCGCGCCGAGGATTCTTTTGGGATGAGATTAGAGCGCGTCTCTTCAAGGCCGGCGCATCTTCCTTTGTCGCGTCACGCCGAAATAATTTCTTACGGTAGTCGCGATATTGATTCTTTTATATAGACGATAAAGCGGCTGCCACTTTATTATTGTCCTACATGCCTCGAGACGTAATTAAACGCTCGTTATGTAGCGAGTAAAAAAGCCAATTAAGATACATTAAGCTTGTAATCGAGCGTTAGTTACGAAAAGTCGAACAAAGAATCGCATGTAAATAACATTGCAGAAATTATTTGCGTTTTTTTATAAATTGTGCTCTTTCTCTCTTTCAGTGTCCGACAGCTACAGCAGTTACATAAACATGTACGGCGGGGGTGGGCAGTTCGCGACCCCCTGCACCCCGAGCCCGCCGCGGGGACCCGGCGGCGTGCCCACCAGCGTGATCCAGGCGGCCACCAGCTCGGTCTCGGACGATCTTTACCTACTCGAGCTCGGCTTCCCGTCGCGCTCGAAGAAGAGCAAGCTGAAGAAGCCGCGGCAGAGCGGCGAGGGCGGGGCCGCGGTGAAGCGGAAGTCGCGCGAGGGCTCGACCACGTACCTATGGGAATTCCTGCTCAAGCTGCTGCAAGACCACGAGTACTGTCCGCGCTACATCAAGTGGACGAATCGCGAGCGGGGCGTTTTCAAGCTGGTCGACAGCAAGGCGGTTTCGCGGCTCTGGGGCATACACAAGAACAAGCCGGACATGAACTACGAGACGATGGGCAGGGCGCTGCGCTACTACTATCAACGCGGTATTCTGGCCAAGGTGGACGGCCAGCGGCTGGTCTACCAGTTCGTCGACGTGCCGAAGGACATCGTCGAGATCGATTGTACGGGCGCATGAGACAGGGAGTCGGCCCGTCCAGCGGGGCACGAGAGGGAGAAGAAAGAGGAACATCAGCAGCAGCAGCAGCACGGCGTCTCGGCGCGGGTCCCGCGCGGACGTCGACCACCGCCGTTGCCGTTGTCCTTGTCGTTGCCGTCGCCGTCGCTGATGCGACGTCGCGGACTCGTCCTCGCGACATCGCCGGGGCCTCTTCCGCGCGAGAGGCCGCCGTTCGGTTTTCTCCACCGAGACGCGCCGACCTGGCACACCCCTCAGATCTTGTAAAACGCGTTCTCTCTTTCTCCCTCTCTCCTCCCGCCCGTCTCTCTCTGTTCGCTTCTCTATCCCTCCCCCCCCCTCTCTCTACTTTCGTCTTTCTCTCTGGCTTCGTTTGTTCCTTGTATTATACCTATGTAAATGTATATTAAGGCGCCGCGTGACGATGTCGTCGGAGGTGGTCCCGACCCGAGTACCTCGTCCTTCTCCTGCGGCCCGTTTCTTTCTCGCGTGTTCGAATGCCGCGTAGGATCGGGGCAGGACACGGTGCCCGACTCGTTGAAATTTGTACAAAATTTAGTTCTTAACGTATCGAGAAAGGAAACTAAAGATTCTATCTGGTGTACCTTGCAGGAGGGACGCTGTGGACAAATTTACTTAAGCCGCGAGAGCACCGGGGAAAAAGCGAAAAATTGTATATTCGAAAGAGCGACAAATTATTTATTGTATATTAGACGTTTATATATGTTACCTAAGAAAAATTGTTACGCGCGTGGTCCGCGCAAAAAAATGGAAAATGTAATGGAAACGGACGAAAGTTGTAATAAAAATGAAACGAAATGAGGGCTGTGAAAAGGATTAACGGATACGGAGAGGAGAGGAGAGCAGAGGAGAGGAGAGGAGACGAGATGTGTAGTGGAACGGGAAAGGATGAGAAGCGTCTCTCCAAGTTTCACGGAGCGAGCTCAGGGAGGGGTACACATTATATTTTTTTAAGTATAAGCGGAAGGGATTGGCCCTTCCGATTCGTGAGCTGAGGGTTCAACAACGCAAGGTGCTGGCTAATATACATGCATACACACAAACACACACACACACATACACGTTCACATGCACACCGAGGTCCAAGAAAATTATTATTTAGCAACCTAGTGTTACTAATTCGTAAAGATTATCGATGCGGATAATTATATCTCTGTATATAAATATAAAGAATACCTTTAGTAAAAAAAATATATATATATTATTGAATATTATATATATTATATAAATATATCTATTGTATGTTATGTAGTAAAAATGGAGCGATTCGATGTGTCTCTATGAGATTTTAGCGTCACGGCGACACGCGTAGGGCGCTTGTAACCGTCTCGCGCGACGTCTCTCTTTCGAAACTTTCTATACTACCTGATTGTTCTTATATACATTATATCGGGGGACGAATTTTATACGTTCCATTCGAGAGCGCAGATTGATCGCGTTCGAGCCTTCTAAAGTCGCAGTCGTAACGCACATAAATAAATATATATAAATATATATATATACATATATATACACGTGTATTGCTGGTCTCGCATGCTCAGACTGATCAGAGACGTCGCACGTACAACACAGAGAGAGAGAGAGAGGGAGAAGCCCGCCTGACGCACGGGAAGCGTAATGATAAAAAAAAACAATGCGTAAACTCTAGAGTAAAAATTTAACTTATTGGCGCCCCGGGACGCGTGACGCGCGCGAGTGCAAGTGTATCCTATATAGCCCTAAGTTTTTTGTACATAAAGAGGAAATCGTCAAAAATATTATTTACGTTTAAGAGGAACGTAACGCTGTTTATCTCCTCGAGATAGTTATATCGGGAGAACGTGAAACGGAAGGTGTGGAAGGAAAGAACGGGGACGAGGAGCGCCCGGCTAGATCACGCGCGATGATTTTACGCGGCCGATCGCGAGGCGCGTACACATACACATACACAGGCCGAATTGTCGCATCACATCGCCTCGGGATATACCGGAGAAACGAAATATACCGTACAATTCAACAGTGCTGCCAATAATGCCTGTAAACGGTCCCTTTGCACTTGTCGCTCGAGTCAACGCCCTTCGAGTCGAGTCGCACACGGGTGCTGTCAGATCGATCCGATGTTTTTTGGGACACCAGATATACATACCGATGATACAAAGCAAATTGCCTTCTCGTATTAACAAAGACGTGTTGCCTTCTAACAAAAAAAAAAGATGCATATAAAAGTTCTAGCGATTTGTATCGTAAATGCCGTCACTTTGTCCAGGTACTTAAAATGCCCTTTACATATAATGCCCTAACATCGTTTTTTGTGACGAATTGAATTTTGTAATTTTATCAGCGAAAAGTTCTTTGGTACGTGGTGACTTTTATCGTACTTCGAATACAATGTATCGGCGGGACATAGTAATAATATTAATAATAATATTAATAATGATAAAAAAGAAGATATATCAGAGTACAATGGACAAAAGTACCTATAGTATACCACTTCTATACATGATAACGGACACTTATAAACAATGAATGGACACTACAACAGAAATCCTATTTTTAGGTAAATTAAATTTACATATACATAACAATCCACTACACTACGAGATATTTTAACAAATAAGACTTTACTATAATAGAGATAAATACATAATTATTTACTTGTAAAATATATGAAAACACGATGGATTGACGTAAGGAACTCTAATGTAACGTTCTGTGATTCGTTGTTTGTAGGTGAAATTTAATAAAAGATTATTGTATCATAATATATATATATATATATATATATATATATCCTCGTGTCATTTTATTATTTTTCCCATACTCAATGAATTATTTTGATTTTTAAATTTTCTTAGATTTTATCTCCAATATAAACAATTTTGGTTTTATATAATACGTTGTATGAACGATATTAGAGAGTAAAGTAACAAATAAAAAATAAAATTGTAATATTTTATATATTTTATATTAACTAATAACTGCGTTCGAAAAATTAATTTATCTGAATTTTTGTTAAGAAAAATTTACACGCGATCATAAACGAGTGAGAAAACCTTTATATTATAGAAGTTAGTTACAATCTCCTATAATTTTTATAAATATGTCTTCCTCTCGCAAATAGGACATTGTGTGCTTTGTATCCCATTCTTTAAAAATTCGATCCTTGCAAGTTTTATTTTCCCGGTAAACACCGGGCACCAATTACATTGCACTTATGTCACAATTTCTCACATGTAATACAACATGTGTTATATTACATTTCTATTGTTGACTGAGAAACTGTAACATAAATGCAATGTAACTGATGTTCGGTGTTTATGAGATCGTAATCATCCGTGTCGATGGTATTGTCAATAAATAAATTATCACTGTCGATCGACGAATTACCGTTGATAAGTTAACTTCCTATAAAATTATTTATCTATTATCGATAAAGTATTCCGATAAAATCTCATTTGTTTAGAAGTGTCCGTTATCATGTATAGAAGTGGGCCATATGTACACTGAGGAGCAATGATTCGCTGGGTCATAGTAGTAGTTCTAATTTATCGACGTGACTTGCCGATAACGATCAAGAAGCGCGCGACACAGAAATGTGTAAATAACAAGCAGAATTAAAACTTTTAACAGTTAAAGTGCAGAATTAAAATTGTTTTAACTTGTTATATACATATTTTGACATTTCTGTATGTCGTGCGCGTTTTAAGATCGTTTTCGACCCAACGGTAAATCACGTCGATAAATTAGAACTACTACTATGACCCAGCGAATCATTGCTCCCCAGTGTACATACATACTCTGATATATCTTCTTTTTTATCATTATTAATGTTATTATTAATATTATCTTTTGACACTGCCGATAAAGTCTCCGCTTTGTGCGTGTTTATGCTACGTCAATTTTTCAGGATTGTGTTGTAATTTTAAAATTACATTAACATAAATTATCTGCATGATGTTTACTCAACTTTTTTCATGTATTATAGTTAATGTAACTTTCATAAATTATATACATAGATGTGCGAATGCAGAGACACGCACCAAGTGGAAATTTTATCGACAGAGTCAGAAAATGCGTAATAAAATAATTGCAAAAGTAAAAATGGGCGTAAGGACACGCAAAATAGACTCCTAAAACGGTATCAAGTGAAACGACAGTGTGGCCGCTCTCAGGTTTCCCTCTGGTTTTACGTGAGCCACAAACGCGATGCGCCCTCTGTGGACATTGAAAACGTGGACATGTACTACGTAGCCAATGTCCACGTTTAGGCTAAGCGGATAACGCAGATGCGCACGTATTATGTTTCGTACTGTATGTGACTGAAATATGTCGATAAACACAGAGTTTTTGATTTTTTGTTATGTAAGCGAACAGACGAACTTCTAGAGGCCCTCCACCACCCCCGCCGAATTCTTATCGGCGGTCCTCTTTTGTTTGCGATAAAATTGCGTTCTTACATTATTGTCATTAATTTTTTTTAAACGTTTAAAATACATACATATGTATTAGGTTGTCGGAAAAGTCATGACGGATTTTTGCAATAGATAGTACTTAAAAATACGTCATGACTTTTCCGACAACCCAATATAATAACCTATCGATTAAAGACTATGTGAATTAAATTGAACTAAAATTTTATTCGATAGAAACAAATCGACCTACACCATATAGAGGCCCTCCACCACCCCCGCCAATTTCTATCGGCGGTCCTCTTTTCTTTCAAATAATCGTTTCCTTTTTATCATTATTTTATTTTTCTCACAATATAACTTTACAATATTATAAAAGAGAAAGAGAGTACATTATGTGAACATTTGATATGCGTTTACAAAACTATCAAATTATATCCCCTTGATCCTGCTTACTTGAATTCCTACCTACCCGCATTCCAATTTATAATCCTATGTATCCGTTTTATTACCTACCCGTGTCGAAACCTAACAAATCTACAAATTTTTAATTAAAACCTCGACCCGATTTTATTAGGGATTTGATTCGGGATTTTAACTCGTGCGCGATTGAGATTTAAATTAGATTTTTCAAATCTCGCATATGTATATGCGAGAAAATTTGCAGAAGAAAAACCCACCCGATTAAAAAAAAATTACATATTCCATAATTCATCTTTGTGGTCAATGAGGACCACTTACGATGAATGCATTTTCCATTCGTTGGGCCAGATTGGACCTACCTTTCGTTGCTCCTGGCCATATAATCTGGTCACATTTCGACCAGACACCAGTAGGAAAGAGAAAACCTCTTTCCATTGTCGATTTATCATTATCGACAAATATTACACGTTCGATTCGAATAATAAGCAAGCGTCGACCGTATCGAAGAATACGATAAGAAAATTAGTTAAAATATATATCTTTGTAAAAAACGGCTGCATAAAATTAACCGAATATATTTTCAACATTACGCTATTTAATTCCGGTATTTAATTAAAAATATGGACCGGTTTTTTCTTCGTAATTGAATTAACTCGAAATCGCAAGTCAAATATAATACCAAAAAATATATTTTGCGTTACATATGTACCGATTTCAATAATAACCCGTGAAAACTTGGAATTAATAATAATGTGAATAAAATAAAAAATTAATAAGAAAACTGTCCCGATGCAAAACCGATTACAAAAACCGACCGCGAAAACCGAAGATTCGTGTGACTGTGTTGTTCATGCAATATGCACCTCGAAAGTGTATCAAACAAAATCTACA